ATATAGTACTTTTTCTTCATTACAAATATATATATTACATATATATAATTTTTTCTCTATTATGTAGGATGCTGTGCTTGGAATATATAATCTCTGTGCTGCAGAAAGCCGAGAGGTCAGAGAGGTGAGGGAGGCCACCGGCTTCCGAGTCATTCTTCCCCTCCGAATCTTAATGTGAATAACAGGGTGACAGAAGGGAAGTTCCTACTGAGTCCTTGCATGTGAGATGAACTTATGGACCTGTCTGCTTGGTCAAGAATTAATGGACTGCGTTTCACAGAAGGCCCTTCCTCTCCCCTGCGCTCACAGTGGCCGGGCCTTTATCATCATCAGCATCCAATGCAAGTGAGATGAATGTGCAAGGCTGTAGTAAGGGTGAGCTCCTAGGCTAGCATATGCTGACCCAAGCAAGGCCACTGGCCTGCTCTGTAAAGTCAAGGCCACTATTCCTATATGGCAGTAAAGCATCCTTAAACATGGGTGACCTGTGGGTGTATGGAAAGTAATTGCTCATATATTAACATTTAAAATACAGAAATATTCACACTCTTCATGTTTATCATAAACTGGTAATTTGCTCCCCTTCGATATATCTCATCAAAAGAAACACTATTATTATCATTAATTGCCACAAAAAATGAGTGTCCTTTTCATCCTGTGCATGCCCAGATATTTTTTTTTTATTTTTTTTTTTTTTTTTTTTTTTGAGACGGAGTTTCGCTCTTGTTACCCAGGCTGGAGTGCAATGGCGCAATCTCGGCTCACCGCAACCTCCGCCTCCTGGGTTCAGGCAATTATCCTGCCTCAGCCTCCTGAGTCGCTGGGATTACAGGCACGCGCCACCATGCCCAGCTAATTTTTTGTAGTTTTAGTAGAGACGGGGTTCACCATGTTGACCAGGATGGTCTCGACCTCTTGACCTTGTGATCCACCCGCCTCGGCCTCCCTTTTTTTTCTTTTTTTAAGAGATAGTGTCTTGCTCTGTTGTCTAGACTGGAATGTAGTGGTGCTATCATAGATCCCTGTAACCTCGAAACATTTTTTTTTTAATTATACAGGAGGTGCCCACCTGTAATGCCAGCTGTTTTGGAGGCTGAGGTGGGAAGATGACTTGAGCCTGGGAGGTTGAGGCTGCAGTGCACACGATTGCACCAATGCACTCCAGCCTCGGTGACAGGGCAAGACCCAGTCACCACAACAAAAAATCAGGAAACGGGACACTTATGGCAAACTACTTCTGCCCTGAGATTTTCTATGGGTTTTGCATGACTGGCTCTCATGGTGTGGGCAGTTAAGGTTCCAAACTGTACTGTTGAATCCTAGTACAGCACAAATGGCTTGCAGGAGATAAGACAGAATCTCATCAGCACATCAGAGTAAGTGCCCCGCTATTGTGGCTCAGACCCCATGGAGGAGAAGCCGCGCTCTGGGCCTCCCTCTCCTCCTTCACTAAAGGCAGTGAAATGAGGCACTAGCTCCTGCTCTGACCTTACTGCTCCCAGAGTCCTTGTTGGTACTAGTTACAGCCTCAGACTAGAAAAAGATCTGCCGGTAAAGTTTCAGTTCCAAAACTAATGTGATGACTTTGGGTAAGTCATAAAACCTCAAGGCTCAGTTTCTTCATCTGTTAAATAAAATCAACCTCTACTCTGCTGGCCTTATAGGGTTGTTGTAAGGAGATGGAATAACAGAAATGAAGGAGGGAGGCCGGCTGCCACAGGGTGGGACCGTCACGCGCGATGGCCTCCACCCTGATGGAGGAGTCGGATTCAGCTGCGGTTACCCAAACACAAACCGCCAGGCTCCACCCCAGGGCTCCCCATGCTGAGGCCCGGGGTGAGGCCCGGAATTTCCAAGACTAACAAGCATCCAGGTGGTGCTTTTGCTGCTGGTCCGAGGACCACACTTTGAAAATCATGACTTAGGTTTAAGAGGATGGGCTTTGGAGGCAGGTTTGAGTCCCGGCTGTGCCACTTCCTGTCTACATGTCTGAGGGCAAGTGGCTTAATCTCTACATTTCAGCTTTCTCAGCTATAGACAATGTAATATTGGGAGTGGAAATTAGTTCGGTCATTGCAGAAACAGCTTAGTGATTCCGCAAATAACTTTTTTTTGGGAGGGGATGGAGTCTCACTCTGTTGCCCAGCCTGGAGTGCAGTGGCGTGATCTTGGTTCACTGTGACCCCTGCCTCCTGGGTTCAAGCTATTCTCCTGCCTCAGCCTCCCGAGTGGCTGGGACTACAGCCACGCACCACCTTGCCGGGCTATTTTTTGTATTTTTAGTAGAGGCAGGGTTTCACCATATTGTTCAGGCTGGTCTTGAACTCCTGACCTCATAACTCACCCACCTCGGCCTCCCAAAGTGCTGGGATCATAGGTGTGAGCCACCACGCCCGGCCTCCACAAAGAACTTAAAACAGAACTACCATTCAACCCAGCAATGCCATTACTGGGTATATACCCAGAAGAATATAAATCATTCTACCATAAAGACACATGCTTGTGTATGTTCACCACAGCACTATTCACAATAGCAAAGACATGGAATGAACATAAATGCCCATCCACAGTAGACTAGGATAAAGCAAATGTGGTTTATATACATCGTGGAATGCTATGAAGCCATACAAAGGAACGAGAGCATGTCCTTTGCAGCACCATGGATAGAGCTAGAGACCATTATCCTAAGCAAACTAAGGCAGAAACAGAAAACCGAAAGCCACGTGTTCTCACTTATACATGGGAGTTACACAGTAAGAACGCAGGGGTATTAGCAGGGGAACAGAGGGCACTGGGGCCTACCTGAGGGTGGAGGATGAGGGGAGGGAGAGGATCAGAAAAATACCCATCAGGTACTAGGCTTATTCCTGAGCGATGAAATGATCTGTACACCAATCCCCTGTGACACGAGTTTACCTATAAAACAAACCTGCACATGGACGCTCAAACCTAAAATATAAATTAAGAAATGTTCCTGACCGACCTCTTCAGACAGAGGGATGGTCCCCCGTGTCACAAGCGATGCCAATAAAGGGAACGCCACCTTTTTCAACTCCTGGGAAATGAACCCAACGCCTGGCCCCACATGGCACTCACTCTCGCCCACATCAGCTCTCATAACTGTCATAATCCGTCGCTTATCTGTCTTGTGGGTCTATTATTTCATTCTCTGTCCTGCACCTGAAGCTCTGCGTTCTTACCTGTGTTTAGAACAGCTCTGTTCAATGATGAGTCACACAAGCCGTTTAAACTTTTCTGGTGGTCACATTTGAAAAGAAAAATAGCAACAACTTAACTTCTTTCCTTTTTTTTTTTTTTTTTTTTTTGAGACAGTCTCGCACTGTTGCCTAGGCTGGAGTGCAGTGGCACAATCTTGCCTCACTGTAACCTCCCTCCTCCCCAGGTTCAAGCAATTCTCCTCTCAGCCTCCGGAGTAGCTGGGATTACAGGCATGCACCACCACACCCAGCTGATTTTTATATTTTTAGTAGAGCCAGGGTTTTCACCATGTTGGTCAGGTTGGTCTCGAACTCCTGAACTCAGGTGATCCACCTGCCTGGGCTTCCCAAAGTGCTGGGATTACATGTGTGAGCCACCACGCCTAACCACTTTCTTTAATCCAATATATTCAAAATATTATCAGCTCAACCTGTAATCAATACACAAAATTAACGATGTGTTTAAAAAAATTTTTTTTTGGCAGTAATGAATGCCATGTTGGCTTTTACTATCTTTTTCTTTTTTTAGTAATTTTACTTTACGTTCTCGGATACAAGTGCAGAACGTGCAGGTTTGTTACATAGGTAATCGTGTGCCATGGTGGTTTGCTACACCTATCAACTTGCCATCTAGGTTTTAAGCCCTGCATGATTAGTTATCTGTCCTAATGCTCTCCCTCCCCCGACCCCCACCCCTCTTTAAACTCTTTTTATTTTTCACACTGAGTTCCAAAGTCCGGTGTGTATCATAGAGCACACCTCAAAGCCACGTGCAGGCAGGGCAATGGCACTGGACGATGCAGGTCTGGACGAGTGCCTGGTATATTGTGGGCACAATTCTTGAATGGACCCTGAGAAACAGGCAGAAATGTTTTGTTTTGTTTTTGAGACAGAGTCTAGCTGTGTTGCCCAGGCTGGAGTGCAGTGACATGCTTTAGACTGACTGCAACCTCTACCTCCCGGGTTCAAGCCATTCCCCTGCCTCAGCCTCCCGAGTAGTACAGTCACCCACCACCGCGCCCGGCTAATTTTTGTATTTCTAGTAGACGGGAGTTTCGCCATGTTGGCCAGGCTGGTCTCGAACTCCTGACCTCAGGTGATCCACCCACCTTGGCCTCCCAAAGTGCTGGGATTACAGGCGTGAGCCACCGTGCCCGGCCATAGTTGCCTTCTCAATTCAGTTTTCTCCCAGGTCGTAGTCCTTGAGGCACTGGACATCCCCTCGTTAAACACCCATGTGCAGCGGAGCAGGGAGGAGGACGCGCCCCTTCGGGGGTGTGGGCCCAAGACAGGGAGAGGAACGCGGCTTCCGCAGCCTCCCCTCTGGCCCTCCTTTGCGTTTATTCTAATTCATGATTCCTTACATCCTTCTGCCCATTACAAAATGTGCGTTCGTTCATTTGGCCCCAGCCCTGAGAGCAGATCCGCATTCCCGGGGCCCCCTAGGACCCGCGGTCACCGCACGTGGGTGCTGGGCGCCCGGGCGTTGAAGGGCTTCCCTCGGTGACGCGAGCGCGCCGGGGCGTGGCCCCCGAACTGCGGCCTCGGGGAGGGGAGAGAAGGGGCCCCACAGCGTCCATCGCAACCCTCCTCTGCGGGGCCCCGGGCTTCAGCCCGGCCAAGTGCGCCTCAGGCCCGGCTCCCATAGGCTCGGTCCCATCCCAGCCCCGGCCCAGCTTCCTCCAAGCCCGACCGGAAGCTGACGAGTTCCGGCTGGTCGGCGGCCGCGTCTGCTCTGCGACCCCGCCCCTCCGTAGGCTCCGCCCTGACTCCGCCCAGACGCGCGTCATCTTCCCGCGCCGTTGACGGAAGTGCGATGGTGAACGCGCGGGGTCTTGCCCGCGCTGAGCCGGGAGCCGAAATGCTTCCCGGTGACGGGAGTGAGCGATGAGCCGGCTTCTGTTTCTGGTCCACAGAGTCGCCTTGGCCGCTGTGCGCTGTCGCCCCGCCTCTCGCGGGTTCGGGATGTTCTATGCCGTGAGGAGGGGCCGCAAGACCGGGGTCTTTCTGACCTGGTGAGTGGCCCGCCTGCCGAGGCGCCTCCCTGCCGGCCCCGGGGCGGAGGGAGGCCGGGGCTCAGCGAACCCCGGCGGCGGGAGCCCGGCGGTCCGAGCCTGTGCCGTGCGCGGTGGCTGTGGGTGGTCTGGGAGCCGCCCCGCCTTCCTCCTCAGCCGACGGGGTTCCAGGAGGCTCATAGCCAGGGGCTGGACCGCCCTGAATCCTCGTTTGGAATATCAGAAACGCCACATAAAGCTTAGGGGTGGCCTAATAAACCCTGTGCTTGATCCCTCATCTTTGTTGCAGTTAAAGTGCAACAAAAAGTGACACGTAATCGGAACCAAGCCACATAACCGGAAGAGTTTCCGTACCAGCTAAATTGGGACTGGAACTCAGTACCTAACTTTCCGATTTTAAAAAGGTAAATTCTGTATAAGCTAGTATTTGCAGTGGATCCTTGTAACAACACTTGGAGGTGAGTGGGATTATTCTCATTTTCAGGTGTAGTTACAGTGGTCAGGAAGTTCACAGGTTGAGTAACTGACAGAGGAAGGACTTGAGCCCAGGTGTTCCGTCTTTACCACCAGAACCCTTTCCCTTACAAAATGTCAAAGTTCCTTACGTGTGTTTCCCTATGCACGCCAGCTAGAGTAGTGAGGAAGAAGCATCTCAGAAGTTGACCTTTTTGCCGTAATGAAATGGTTAATAATTTTTTTTCAAAGACCCCAGTATTTTATTATGCTTTGACTTTGACAAAAGCCTGCGGTGCTGGTGTGCTGGCTGGCGTACAGAACACAGGTGTAGATTCTGACGTGCAAGATAAAACTATGAACTGTAAGGTGTGACCCTTTGCCCTTTTCACACTAAAATTGGTCCTCCATCTCCAGTTTGTATCCTCAGTTTCAGCTAACCCTAGATCAAAAATATTTGGAAAAAATTAAAATAGGGTACAGTTTTTAAATATGCATGAAAAGACAATACAATAACTGTATACATTGTATTGGGTATTATAAGCTAGAGGTGATTTAAAGCATACAAGAAGATTTGCATAGGTTTTGTGCAAATACACCATTTAATACAAAGGACCTAGGCATCCTGTGATGTATCTGATGGGGTTGGAGGACCTTCCTGGAATCAGTCCCCCTCTGATACCAAGGGACAAGTGTACTTCCAACCTTACAAATCTTAATTACGAAGGGGTAAGTTAGGGAGGGAAGAAGGCAATAACATTGCGCATCTTTTCCAGGAATGAGTGCAAGGCTCAGGTGGACCGGTTTCCTGCTGCGAGATTTAAGAAGTTTGCCACAGAGGATGAGGCCTGGGCCTTTGTCAGGAAATCTGCAAGCCCGGAAGCTTCAGAAGGTAGTCGCCTCTCATGTCCCATCAGTGTGACATTTTAACTTATTCAAAGGCTTTCATATGCCAGATGGCATTTGAGCTATGTTTGATCTACTCTCCAGGCACATAGAGAAGACAGTGTGATTGTTTTCATTTTGCAAATTAGGGAACAGGCTGAGAACAGTTAAAAATAGTGGCTCATGTTACGTACAGTATTAGGGACAAGTCAGGACTCAGATCTCCTGTTCCGTTTAGCTTTTTATGCCGTCATTCCTTATCTTTTCAAAAAATACTTGTTCAGCCTGACCAACGTAATGAGACTCCATCTCTACTAAAATACAAAAATTAGCCAGCCATGGTGGCGTGCACCTGTAATCACAGCTACTCAAGAGGCTGAGGCAGAATTGCTTGAGCCTGGGAGGTAGAGGCTGCAGTGAGCCGAGATTGCACCATTGCACTCCAGCCTGGGCATCAGGACAAGACAACTCAAAAAAAAAAAAATACTTGCTCAGTTATTAGACTGATTAGACTATAATTTTATAGGAGTGAATGTGGTTCTTTTCCTGGCGTGCACCTTTGTGGTGTTTCCTTTCTATTGAGGACAGAGTTACACAATCTTAATTTCTTCCTCTCTCGTTTTTGGAGACAGTCTTGCTCTGTTGCCCAGCTGGAGTGCAGTGGTGCAATCTCGGATCACTGCAATCTCTGCCTCCTGTGTTCAAGTGATTCTCCTGCCTCAGCTTCCCGAGTAGTTGGGATTACAGGTGCGTGCCACCACGCCTGGCTAATTTTTGTATTTTTTTTTAGTAGAGATGGGATTTCACCATATTGGCCAGGCTGGTCTTGAACTCCTGAGCTCAAGTAATCCACCTGCCCCGGCCTCCCAAAGTGCTGGGATTACAGGCATGAGCCACCATGCCCGGCCAATTTCTTCCAGTTTTATCTGTCATAGAAAGTATGGTTATTCGAAGTTTAAAGCTCAGTATAAGATTAATGCCCAATATAATTGGAAGTTGAAATTGCAATATGCAGACTCAGATGAGCATGGTGATGACGTTAGAGCACAAGATTTTAAAAATATTTCTGAATCCACCCTGAAGTGATCTTACATGAATGTTACTTACAGACTTTTGCTACAGCACATTAAGACTGAGCAGAGCATAGTTTTAATCATCTTATGTTCAACAGTCTCTCTAGAGGCAACTGAGATGCTTGAACACTGAACAACTGCTCCTTTGCGTCATCATAACAATCCTGGACAAAGCACAAGTCAGGGAGAGGCAGGTTGTGTCTAGCATTGAGCTGGATATACAGGTATTGATCGACTTAGGACCTATGCAACTTATGACCATTCGACTTTACGACCACAGTCGCTAGCCACGACTGCTCCGCGTCTGGCAGCGCAAACGTTGCCCAGCTGGGCGTACGACGGTGCGGACCAGCTTCCGGCAGCACTACCATCTCCGCGTGCACCATTTCAACTGTGCATATAGCCTACTCAACTTATGGCCAAATTGTGTTATGACTGGTCCGCGGTCCCAACCATGGTCGTAAGTCAAGCACTAGCTGTATAACCACTGATGTTATAAACACAATTTTGGTCCATGTTTTTCCTGGAAGAAGAGCCCCTCGGATTTTCAAACTGTCCATCATCCCTAAAGGGACAAGAACCCTTGGTATTATTATCTCCATCAGAACCAGGTTTTATTTTCAACAGGAGCCTTGCTATTGTCCTCACATTGTCTTTATCAAACTTATCTTGGAAAATTCGGAATGACTTCTCAAGAGTGTGGAAGTCTGAGATGGTGTGGATGGAGTCATTCCCTTGTTGTAGGGCCACGTGCAGAGGGTGTTTAAGTCTGATTTAATGGTGCTGAATAACTTACTGGATTTCTTCATCCTCTAGCCTTTTGTGTTATGCTCATTGTTTGCAGCTCACAAGTGAACTCTTTCAGGGCAGGAAAATCAACATGGACGAGAATCACAGACGAAAGCCAGCAAGCGACTCCGTGAGCCACTGGATGGAGATGAGGGCGCAGAGCCGTATGCAAAGCACTTGAAGCCCAGTGTGGAGCCGGCGCCTCCAGTTAGCAGAGACATGTTTTCCTACATGGGTACATCTTCCTTGGGTTTCCCTGATTTTTATATCATGAAAATATATGCGTAAAAGATATTTCCCACTTAATGGGGGAAGTTTGAGCTGATGTTTTTCATCTTCATTGTTACGTGTAAATATTATTTAGAAATCACTAAGGTCATTACTTTGTAATTGATCAAGTGGTGCAGAATTAAACTTTGGCTGTTCTTAGGAAAACCCTTATGTATAAATGAGTAACTGTAATCTTTTGAAATACCAATATATTCGCTATGCATGCGGCACTTAACGTTACCAAGATAAAGCGCAAAGGCTCCAGCTTTTTCAAATAAGAAACGCCCCACATACAGCTGTTTGTTATAATGGATTAGCACCAGCACTTTAAGCTTTCATTCGCAATCTTTGGAAAACGGGAGATTCTGTTTTATCCTGAGAAGCAGGGTAGTAGTGAGCTTAAGGCTCCTTTGTGTCTTTTACACATAGGTGCAAAAAACAAATAAGTAGCATTTAAAAATATAAATCAGTATATTTGTAGGTTCTGATTTAATTCAAGGGAAACCAGTAGAAAACGTTGTGCCAAGCTGTATCATTTATAGATAAGTTTTGCAGTTATCTAAGAAAAGACCACACAAGTATTCTTTATTTGGTGATTTACTAGTAGGAATTAAAGCAGAGATTTGTGGAGTAGCAGGGAAATGAGCTGTTTCTGGCCACTGACCATGCTTGAGGCTCAGTAGCCTGGAACATGGCAAATGGCAGTGCTGGCTCCAGCAGTTCAGTGGCTGGGTAGAAAGTTTGTAGTCGTGCTGATACAGCCATGTTCCAGCTGAACTAAGGAGCCTTGCCCGACACCCAAACTCCACTCGGCCCTCTGACCCACTCCCATGAGGAGCATGTCCTCGTCTCTGCCCCTGTGCTGCCACTGTGTGCAGTCTGCCTTTCTTAGGACAAGCACTTCCACTTCCTGCGCGTCCGACCTCTATTTGCCCTCTTGCCCAGCTCTTAACACTTTAGAACCTGACCTCTGCTTCCACCACACTGCTGAAGTGTACTGGTCACCAGGGGCCTGACAGCGGTCCCATCAGTCCTTTTTCACCTTGTTATTTACAGCCTTGGTATGTCAATCACACCATCTGTCTAGAGGGAAAGAAACGGACGGGAACCACACTAAACTAGTAGCGAATATGCCAGGGAAGAAATGGGAGCAGCACTGGTCAGGAGACTGGGCCCTCTGGCAGGCAGAATCACTGCCATGCTGAGGCTCTGCTTGTCTCTGGAAGGATGGCTCCATGAGAGTGAAGGTGGCCCTGCTGTGGAGACAGAGTCATTGTCATTTGAACCCTCAGTGTGGGGTGTGAACAGTAGTTCTTACTGCAGCGGGCACTAGTTTACAAAGTATCTGCCTTTACCCTGAACTTGCCTGGCCTGCAAGACCAAAATGTAAGTGGACTCTGAGCATAAATGCTGGGTGCCCTCTTGTAAGAAATTGAGCACGTTTTCCTAGACAGAACATGTAAGGTCAGCCCAGTAGCGTTTACTTCTCTTCCCACAGGAGACTCGGTTGTCGTATACACGGATGGCTGCTGCTCCAGTAATGGGCGGAGGCGGCCACGAGCAGGAATCGGCGTTTACTGGGGGCCGGGCCATCCGTTGTAAGTAATCAAAGGAAGCTGAGTTTTCCTGAATCATGCTCCACAACTTGGGAGATGAGGCGGATCTGCTTATTCGTTGACTATTGGGAAAACCTGCAGATAAATAACTTTGGCAGGGGGTAGCAGAGGAACAGCTTGGATTGTGTTGGTGCTGAGCAGCGTTGCTCTTCAGAACGTTGGTACCTCAGCTTTACTTCGTTCTGTTTTGTTTTTAGACAGAGTGTCACTCTGTTGCCCAAGCTGGAATGCAGTGCCAGAAACAGCTCACTGCATCATTGACCTTCTGGGCTCAAGTGATCCTACTGCCTTGAAAAAAGTGCTGGGATTATAGGTGTGAGCCACTGCGCCTGGCTTTGGTGTTGCTTTCTTGCCCTGTGGAGGAGTCTTTTTTTTTTTTTTTTTTTTTTTTTTAAAGTAGAGATGAGGTCTCACTGTGTGGGTCCGGCTGGTCTCAAATTTCTGGGCTCATGCGATCTTCCCACCTTGTCCACCCAAAGTGCTGGGATTACAGGTGTGAGCCACCACGCGTGGTCCAAAAATTGCTCATGTTTTTTAGGAAACCCTGGATCTCTTAATTTTAAATGACTTAGTGACCCCAGATTTTAAATAACTTATCTGAGGGTTTTTCTGGCTTCTTGATTTCATTTTCCACCTTTATTTCCTGGAAGTTTTTAGGAGTTTCAGTCTGAGGTCTTACTCCCTCCATTCTTATTCCTAAGTTTTCTCCTGGGATTCTTTTTGCTGGAGCCACAGGTCCTAACTCAGGGTCCGCAGAGAACTAGCTCTTACTTGCTCTGTCCTAGTGGGACCCCAGAGAGTCAGCAGGTACCCGAGTGTGGAAGCCTTTTATCCTCTCTGCTTCTGGCAGTCTCTCTGTTAGTTTGACTTTTATTTGATGCTTTTATATTTCAAATAAAAATACACAATTTATTGTTATCCATTAAGAAGAATCACTTTGAGAATTCACTTTATAATTTTACTTTCTTTTGTACTGTTTTGAAACAGAAATATAGGCATTAGACTTCCTGGGCGACAGACAAACCAAAGAGCAGAAATTCATGTAAGTTATCAGATATATTGAAGCCACTCATTATTGAGCATTGAGTGTGAGCATATCAAATAAATCAGCTAATTTTTTTTCCTACTTATATATATAAGATATTTGGAGGAGAGGCTTGGGTTTAATGACAATTCTGAAAAATAGGAATTTCGTAGAAAAATTCTAAAAACTCGGGGGCCGGGCGCGGTGGCTCAAGCCTGTAATCCCAGCACTTTGGGAGGCCGAGGCGGGTGGATCACGAGGTCAAGAGATCGAGACCATCCTGGTCAACATGGTGAAACCCCGTATCTACTAAAATTACAAAACATTAGCTGGGCATGGTGGCACGTGCCTGTAATCCTAGCTACTCAGGAGGCTGAGGCAGGAGAATTGCCTGAACCCAGGAGGCGGAGGTTGCAGTGAGCCGAGATCGCGCCATTGCACTCCAGCCTGGGTAACATAAGTGAAACTCCGTCTCAAAAAAAAAAAAAAAAAAAAGAAAAATTCTAAAAACTTATTTCAGATAGGTGTCTCTGCAGGAGGATTGTGATCATAGTGCTTCATGCAGAGAGCATAATCATCACAGTACAGAAGGGATGTTTCCGTTTTGAGGACTTTGAGCATCAATAATGTCAAAGTTGAACGTTTTCTGTGGAATGACTCTTGACTTGTCTTTTCAAGGCAGCCTGCAAAGCCATTGAACAAGCAAAGGCTCAAAACATCAATAAATTGGTTCTGTATACAGACAGTATGTTTACTATAAATGGTAAGTTTTCACAGTTGATTTCTTCTGTTTTTCCAGTAACCATGAAGGGAAATTGATAGGAGATATTGTAACAGGGCAAGACCGAAATGGAAACGGGGATGACACTGGTTTGTCAGGAACTAAGCAGAGTGGGGATTTCGGAGTGTCTCTTCTGCTGCTCCGATGTTTTCCACACGCCTATTTCTTTGCGAGGCACCAGAGATGCCGTCAGACATGGAAGTGGCTCTGCTGTAGTGGCACTTCTAAGTCTGTGTGTGCCTAAGTCACTTCAGATGGCGTGTTGACTGCTTCTTTGGGAAATGCCCTTAGGGGATGCTTATGAGGCTGGGGAGGGCTTCCTGGGAGAAGTGACATCTTAAGCTGACAGCTATAGGTAGAATACGAGTTCGGGGAAAGGGAAGAGAGGGCGGTATTTCAGGCTGTGCCAAAGGCCAAAGCAGCTAAGGCCAGCTAAGGAAGTATAAGAGTCAGGGATGGTGACTCGGAGTACAAGTGGGATGGATTATAAGAGGTAAAACTAGGGAAGTGAAGAAGACAGGATGCTCAAGATTGACTCACCAGTGATCAGGCATTCTTGTAGGTATAACTAACTGGGTTCAAGGTTGGAAGAAAAATGGGTGGAAGACAAGTACAGGGAAAGAGGTGATCAACAAAGAGGACTTTGTGGCGCTGGAGAGGCTCACCCAGGGCATGGACATCCAGTGGGTGAGTATCTTCTCAAATGTTAACATCGTATGGCAGTTTTGACCAGATAAGCTAAATTTACTAGAGATTAATGGTATTTGTAAGTGGTTTAAAGACATAACAACTTCCAGGAAATCAACATCATAATGTATACTAACACGTATCTGAGGGTGGACACAGTGGTCACTTCATAATCTAGCACTTTAGGAGGCCCAAGCAGGCTGAATACTTAAGCCCAGAAGTTCAAGGCCAGGCTGGATAACATGGTGAGACTCTGTAGAAAAAGTAAAAAATTAGCCAGGCATAGTGGCGCATGCCTGTAGTCTAGCTACTCAGAAGGCTGAGGTGGGAGGATGGCGTGAGCTGGGGAGGTCGAGGTTGCAGTAAGCCAAGATTGTACCACTGCACTCCTAGCCTGGGCAACAGCGAGACCGTGTCTCAAAAAAAAAAAAAAAAAAAAACCCACCCACAGACACACATTTGATTCTTTTAATCACCGTATGAGTAATAGTTTTTTGGTTTGGTTTGGTTTGGATTTTGAAACAGTCTCGCTCTGTCACTCCAAGCTGTGGCGTGATCTCACTGCAACCTCTGCCTTCTGGGTGCCAGGGATTCTTGTGCCTCAGCCTCCCAAGTATCTGGGTTTACAGGCATGTGCCACTACACCTGGCTAATTTTTCTGTTTTTAGTAGAGATGGGGTTTTGGCGTGTTACCCAGGCTGGTCTCGAACTCTTGACGTCAAACAATCCACCTGCCTTGGCCTCTCAAAGTGCTTTGAGATTACAGACATGAGCCACTACAAGTAGTACAGTTTTAATGAGAGATCACTAGGAATATACACAGGCAATGTGGTTTAAGGGATGTTCTACAATCTTTATATTCTAAGAGCACAAAGTAATTCCCAACCCGGGCACAGGGCATTACTGTGACAGGTATATGTCCCCCTCTTCATTTCTTTGGAATGTGTCATATGTTAAAGCTAACTTGCAGTGTATCTTGTTTAAAACACTAGTAAGGACATGTGATGAAAGGCTTGGTAACAACTTTTACTCCAAGATGGAAGCATTTTTTTAAACAATCATTTTTATTTAAAAAGTTTTTTTTCAAGCAATACAGAACAAATTAAAGTACTGTCTCAACCCTGCCTTGTTCTGCCTTCCCAGAAGCACTGATAACAGTTTAGTGGCCTGGCATGTAAATTTGCTTTGGCAACGTAAGTGTAGACTGTAGTCATACGAAGACAGTGCTGCAAGGGAGCGTGTGTGTGTGTCGCATACATATCTGTCCACCCATCTGCACATACCTGTGTATTCCCTGGAAAGCTTATCAAGTCCAGTTGATACGTGGGGGAGGAAATAACATTATGAACGGTAAAATCAAATTTGTAGAAAAACAAAATGGAATGTTTGTAAATACATCCGTTGCATAAGTGCACGAAGAATCTCCAGCGTGCTGTTCAGGATCATGTTTGGGGAGAGGAGCGTTGGAGCTGAGCTTCTGCTACTCAGTCTGTTCTGAATGGTTGAGCTTTGATAATGAGAATATAGTCGTGTGTTGCTTATGTAAAGATGAGTAAAAATAAAAGGAAAACATTTATTTTAACAGATGCACGTTCCTGGTCATTCAGGATTTACAGGCAATGAAGAGGCTGATAGGTTAGCCAGAGAAGGAGCTAAACAATCGGAAGACTGACCCACGTGACGTGAGTCCTTAGGAAAACCTGAGCCAGCGGCTGTTTCGCTGCTTGTACTTACTGGTGTGGAAAAGAGCCTGCAGGTGGGACTGCTGCAGTGGATGGGCAGACGCGGCTTTCACACGGAATCCGGGAGGCGCAGTGGCATTCTGTGACCCAATTTTATAAAAAATCGTTAAGTATGTAATAAATTCAACATCTTTGAGGTTGGAGAGTTATGTGAGGTTTCAGCGTTACACTTACTGGGTTCTATACGTTTTGCTTGTTTTATCGCAGGCAAGCAAGGCAAATGGCCTAAAATGCCGCAGCTTATATTGATTTTGATAAGAAATCTAAAAAACCTTGCTTAAAAGATGCAACTCAGAAGTCTGGGAGTATTCTGAAAGCATCCATTTACCGTCCGGTTTATAGGAGTGAGTCTCCTGCTTCTGCTTGTTTAGTGACTTGTGCCTGTGGGTACATTAGAGAAACGTGCAGCCTGGGGCCTGGGCGGGCAGCTCAGCGGGCAGGGTGTGTGCTGGGTCTCAGCCCCGCGTGCCTGCTTGCAGGGCACTTGGTATAGGGCAAAGCCTGCCTGTAGGCAACCCTAGCTGCTAGGCCATTCTCTAGGAACACTTAAAACTTGTAAAGACCAAGATGTGTAAAGAAGTCTTTCAAAAATTTGTTTCTTCTGTTAAAAACTGTGCAAATTAAAAAAAAAAATGTTTGACCCTGGCTGGGCGTGGTGGCTCACATCTATAATCCCAGCACTTTGGGAGGCCAAGGCAGGCAAATCACCTGAGGTCAGGAGTTCAAGACCTTCTTGGCCAACATGGCAAAACCCTGTCACTACTAAAAATACAAAAGCTATCTGGGTGTGGTGACACGTGCTTGTAATCCTAGCTACTCTGGTGGCTGAGGCACAAGAATCACTTGAACCTGGGAGCCAGAGGTTGCAGTGAGCAGAGATCGCGCCACTGCACTCCAGCCTGGGCAACAGAACGAGACTCTCTCAAAAATAAATAAAAAGTTTGACATGATTATTTAGTTTTAAACCTTTTTATCATAAAATAAAAATATACAGGAAATGACACAAAACAAATACATAGCTTATTGAATGTTATGATTGTAAGGTGAATACCTTTGTGTCCACCACCCAGGGAAGAAGTAGTGCTTTGCCGGATACCCCAGAAGGCTCTCCAAGTGCCCTCCAGCCACAGCCCCCTTCTCCCGCTCCTTGCCTGCAGAAGTATTCCTGACTTTGACAGAGTGACTTTCTTGGTTTCTTGATGGCAGTTTAGTCTTGTCCGCTTTCTTTTTTAACTCGATCAGTCTCCATGTGCAGTCCTATCTGCCACGCTGTTCTCCCTGCCGTTATCTGTTGAAGAGCCTGGGCCATTGTCCTGTCACTTCCCACAGTGTAGATTTCGCTGACCGCGTGGTCATGGTGCAGTTCAGCATGATCCTCTGTCCTCTGTCCTGCGGATTGGCAGCTGGGTCTAGAGGCTTTGTGAGCCTCAGATTTGAGCCCTTTGGCAGGAGATAAGGCAGTTAGGGGCTCTCTTCGGGAGTCCTTGTCCATGTTGACAGCAGCTGATGCTCAGGGCCAAGATCTATTAATTATTTGGGGTTGCAAAATGGTAATATTCTCATTCTGCCTTTTTGCTTGCCTTTATTCACTGGAATGGTTTTCTACGAAAGCGTTTTCTTTTGTGTACTGTTTGGTTACCCAGTGGTACAGTTCACATAGGAAGGGCAGGGTAAATGCTTGGTTCTTTGCTCTTGCACAGTAAGTTTTTAAGATAATGCATTAGTTCTCTGTCATCCTTAGATGGTGAGCTGTGGGCTGGGCATGGTGGTTTACGCCTGTAATCCCAGCACTTTGGGAGGCTGAGGCAGGAGGATCACTTGAGCTCAGGAGTTTGAGAGCAGCCTGGGTAACATAGCGATACCCTGTCTCTACAGAAAATTAAAATAAAAGTAGGAGGCTGTGGTGCCTGCCTGTTGTCCCACTTACTCTGGAGGCTGAGATGGGAGGCTTTTGAGCCCAGGAGGTTGAGGATGCAGTGAGCTGTGACAGTGCCACTGCACTCCAGCCTGGGTGACAGCAAGTCCTTGTCTTTAAAAAAACAGAATTTGTGGAGTTAAGCATATTTTTGATGGATTTCAATCCATTGTGATATTTGTCTGTGTTTAACTTGGACTCTCTCCTTTGGTCAGTGAGAGGGAGCCTCTTCAGCTGGGCTCTTGAGTTTTGATAAGCATGCATGCATGCGCATTCGTGGACGCACAGACCACATGCGCAGTCAGTGATAGCGCCTGCAATCTGGCATGTGCGGGTGCTCTAGGCCCATCTTGTACAGCTTCTGCCCCAAACTTTTCTTAAAAGAAAAAACCTTAGAGAAGTTCGCAGTTTAATTGAGCAGAAAATAGTTGCTTCAGCCAGGTAGCACTCAGGACCAAAAGCGGTTCCGAACGCTCCCTCGCGCATCCTGTGCAGGCTGCAGTTACAGCTGGAGGAAGGGAAGACACGTGGACGTGGCCAGGCTCACTGCAACGCCGCCTCCGCTTCGCATCACCGTGTTTGCAGCCTTTCAGCCTGTGATCGGTGAGACTCTGTAGCTTGTTACAGGAGTATGCTCTCACATCAGGGCACAGTCTGTTTATACGTTCGGTGAGGTTCTAAGTCAAAGTCACTATGTACAGAGGCAGTTTTAGGCCAAACTTAATTCTGTTTAACATTTGGAATCCATTATTTTTAAGAGTCTCTGGTGGTGATGGTAATTCAGATCCACAGTCTAGGATGCTCATTGCTATAGGTTTGGTCATTGTTTCCAGACTTTTTATTGGACAGAGCTTTAAAAAAATACAAACATTACACACACACATTTAAAGAAAAAATATTTTCTGAACCTGTATTGATATCCCCAATACAAATTCAGCGTTCTGGGGCCCGTACATAGCCTCTTCATAAGATGTCTGTGTCCCACACTCAGAAGACGGGACGATGCCCTGGAATATCCCATAATCACTCACTTTATTCCACTTTAACATTTAGTATTTTTAAAAATACTAATACCGTAGCACTAGTTGGGATGATGAAAACAGCACTGTGTCCACATTGTCAGAAAAATCGCTCCCTTTTACCGCCGTTGACTCATTTCTGTGTGTTCAGTCGTCATAACCCGTCTGTAGTCAGTGAGTTTCTAATGTTGAATTCAGTTTTGCCGGAGATGAAACTCTAGGCTCAGATTTTCTTTGAGTATCTGAATTGTTTTATTCTGTTTTCTTCCAGCATGCAGTGATGCATGAAAAGCCTGATGAGTTTTATTTGCTTCCCTTGACAAGTTGTATGCTGTTGTTGCTTAGATGCCCGAAGGATTTTTCCTTTTTCTCTCAAGTCAGCAGTGGTGTTTGAATGTATCACATGTTGGTGTTGGTTGTCCTGGTCCGTATTTGCAGGTGTATGGTGTGCACTTTCTACGTGTACTTTCAAATCTGATTTAAGATTGCTTGCACTGTAGTTTAGTGTTATATTTTTCTTGCCAATTTTTTTTTCTTTGGTGATCCCTGTTATCTGTGTGTTGAAATCTAAGTTGCCTGTTTTCAGTGTTTGCCACTGTCTCTGGAATCTCTTTTACCTCTTTCTTTATTTCTTTTTGAGTTGTAAATGTTATCACACCACTTTTTTTGAGTTGTAAATGTTGTTATCACACCACTTTTGTTATTTGAAATAGAAACAGTGTCTCTCTCTGTTTCCCAGGCTGGTCTTAAACTCCTGGCCTCAAGGGATCCTCCTCCCTTAGCCTCCCAAAGTTCTGGGCTTATAGGTGTGAGCCACCAAACCCAGCCCCACCTTGCTTTTTAAAACAGCTCTATTGAGGTTTGACTGACAGATAATAAATTGCACATATGTAAAGTGACCAATGCATATTCCCATGAAGCTATCAGCAGAACACGTCCATCACCACCAACAGTATTTTGACAGACTTTGTAAACTGTCCCTCCGTGTCCCCCATCCTCAGGCAACCACTGGTCTGCTCGCTCTCACTAAAGATTAATTTATATTTTCTAGAATTATATATGAGTGGAATCATAGAACAAGTACTGTGGGGGAAGGTGCTGCTTTTGCTCAGCATAATTGTTTCAGCATTCACCGTGTGTATCAGCAGTCCACATTGTGTGTTGTGTGGCTGTACCGCAGTTTGTTTATTTACCTGTTGACTGAAACATTTCGATTGTTTTCAATTTCTGCCTAAATACAAATAAAGCAAGGAAAGCTGCCGTGGACATTTATGTCCTCGTCTTTGTCTTCTGTTTCTCTGGGGTAAATGCCTTGGAGCGGAATGCCTGGGTCACATGACAGGTGTGTGCTTCTTAAGAAACGGAACTTTTCCAAGTGTGAACTTTACATTTTCCATCCCCCCAGCCAGGCAGGAAAGTTCCAGCTCACTCCGCATCCTCAGCAACACTGTCCCCTCATTCTGTTACAAATGTCTGTCAGTTTTTGGTTTTGCTGTTTAGTAGTTCTGTTTTTAGGTGAGGATTTGAGAAGATCCAGAAGTATGCTCCTACTGCTGCCCCTGCCATTTGAGAATCTGTGATTTTAAAAAATGAAAAATTACACTAGAATTGGAAATACAGAGATGAAACGTTGTGCCTCTAAAATCTTGACAGTCTGTGGGATTTTCACAAATACAGACGGTGTCAGTGCCGCAGAACACAGGTGAAGCTGGAGGAACGAAGGTCTAGCCGCACAGTTAAGGGGGAATCGTAAAGTTTTAGGGGGCAATTTCCTCAATTTTCTTTTTATTAAAAGGAAATACATTACTGAGAATCAAAATATCAGCTGCATTTTTAATATCTTTAGAAATTTCCAATGATATATAATGACATCTTCATCAGCTCCAATTCAGAAAATACTTGAGTGACTGTTACATATCAGATTGTGCTGTATATTGTGGAATATATAAGCCTTCAACGGGTGCTGCTTCCAAAATAGGATGTTCATGCTGTACAAACAGGCTGTGGAAGAAGTGTTCTCTGTGCAGCACTCCCCTCCCGGTGTCATGCCATTGCCGAAGCTTGAAGAAAGCCCCTCTGCTGTCTTGTAGGACAGGCAGAAAAGTGCATGAGGTCAGAGGTCAAACAAACTGAGAAGAAAAAAGCCCTCCTGCTAGTAATCAGCTTGGGTAAGTAACTAAGTAGGAACCAGTGAATGCTGCTTTCCTGACTCAGGTGATGTTGTTTATTTCAGGTTGAGCAGGTCTGGGCCTCAGATTGTGTGTCTGAAAAGGAGGACCTTGGTGTTGATTTTTGGTCTTTTTCCTAATTCTAATATTCCAGTAGTTCTGGAGCAAGAAGAAATAGGTCACTCAACTAAAGCCCCCTTTCTATTCATGTGATGAGTTGACGTTCAGAACTCAGTAAAAGGATGTCATCAGAACAAAACACATACCAATGATCATGGTGGTCAGTCGTGGTTCCTGGGCTCACAGACACTCGGGAGTAATACTGGGAGCTGGCTGCATCTGCCCGCATTGTGCCTCCCAGCACACAGAAGACACTGACTCTTTGCTGGGTGAATACCTGGCCAGCCAGTTAAAGCAGCTTTGGTTCTTAATAGCCCATTGAGAGCCAGGAGTTGGCACAAGGCAACTCTGATCTTGTGTTGATCTAAGTATTTGTCAAAGAACAACTTTCATCAGAATATGCCTCCAAATTAAGATGATTTGGTGATAGGGAAAGCCGCCAGTATACGGTGGTTTTAGACAAAGACAAATGTGGTCAATGAAGTGGGAAAAGGCGAGTGGGCTGCTTTCTCCACCCCCAGCAGAAGAGCTCTGTTCTCTAGACCTAAGTATGCACAGTGTCGTGTATATTAAAGGCAGTACCTCAATAGTAAGCAAGGGCCTTTAACCTAGGATTTAACATCCAGCCACCATGAAAGAAGACTATAAGTAAAAGCTTAATACAAAAGAGTTTTGAAGAGCCGTAAGCAAAAGCAAATTAGGAAAAGAATTTGCAACTTGTATCGCAAAGGACTAATTTCCCTAGTATGTAAGAACTTCTAGAAATTGGTAAAACAACTAATAACTCAGGAGAATGGATTAGTCAAATTGTTTACAGAAAAACAGGGCCCTTTAGGAATGAAAAGATGCCTAACTTCACTCACGAGAGAATGCAAATTAAAACACCAAGATGTCGTTTTCTCTCTATGATATTAGCAACAGTGCACATGTTGCTGAGGCTGCCTGGAAACGTGTGCTCCCCTGTGGTGCTGCATGCAGATTGGCACCCCTCAACACCAGGCAGGCGCGGCCCACTGTCCGAAATACAGATGCGATGCTCAAACCCACCAGCCCCCACTCCGCGGAATTCATGCTGTAGATACACCTGCACACGTTAAAAGACGACCAGGTTTTTAATATCAGAGAACTGGAAACAATACTGGCATCTGAAGCGGCCGTGGAATAAACAGCGTTAGAAAGAGTGACAGCTCATAAGTACCCACAGACAAGAAGGATCTCTGGGTGCTGTTAAGTGGAAAACGGAAAGTACTATTCGTGTTTCAGCAGGCTGCCCTGTGCCTCAGGACGCATAACAATTCACAAACACTGAGCTGTTACTCCACTGCGCTAGAAATGCGGAGAGGATGCTGTGGGTGGGAATCGGGCAATGATGAGACTGCTGTGTGCATCTTTGTATGATTTTTAATTTTTTGTTATTTTATATATATGTACATATAATTTTTTTTTTAAACGGAGTTTTGCTCTTGTTGCCCAGGCTAGAGTGCAGTGGCACCATCTCGGCTCACAGCAACCTTCACCTCCTGGGTTCAAATGATTCTCCTGCCTCAACCTCCAGAGTAGCTGGGACTACAGGTGCCCACCACCGTGCCTGGCTAATTTTTTTGTATTTTTAGTAGAGATGGGGTTTCTCCATGTTGGGCCAGGCTGGTCTCCAACTCCTGACTTCAGGTGATCCACCAACCTCAGCCTGTCAACGTGCTAGGATTACAGGTGTGAGCCACCACACCCAGCTGGTATGCTATCTTAAAAAAAAAAAAAAATTTTTTTTTGAGACAGTTTCACTCTTGTTGCCCAGCCTGGAGTGCAATGGCATGATCTCAGCTTACCGCAACCTCCGCCTCCCAGGTTCAAGCAGTTCTCCTGCCTTAGCCTCCTGAGTAGCTGGGTGACACATTAACAGACATATGCCACTTTGCCAAGCTAATTTTGTATTTTTAGTAGAGACAGGGTTTTTCCATGTTGGTAGGCTGGTCCCAAACTCCCGACCTCAGGTGATCTGCCTGCCTCAGCCTCCCAAAATGCTGGGATTACAAGTGTGAGCCACCATGCTCAGCCAAAAAAACATTTTTTTAATCTTTCTTTTTTCTTTTGAGACAGGGTCTTTCTACGTCACCCAGGTTAGAGTACAGTGGCACTGTCGTAGCTCACTGCAGCCTTACCTCCTGAGCTCAAGTGATCCTCCAGCCTCAGCCTCCTGAGTAGCTGGGACTACAAGTGTGTGCCACCATGCCCAGCTAAGTTTTATTTTTCTTAGAGCTGGGGTCTTATGGGTCTTACTATGTTGTCCAGGCTGGTCTTCAACATCTGGGCTCAAGCAGTTCTTCAGCTTCGGCCCCCAACATGCTGGGATCGGAGCCACAAGCCCTGTTTCCCATTTCATTGACATTTGTCTTTGTCCAAAACCCTACCGCCATATACTGGCGGCTTCCCATGTCACCAAAGAATCTCAGTTTGGAGGCGTATTTTGATGAAAGTTGTTCTTTGACAAATAGTTACGTCAACACAAGATCAGAGTCACCTTGTGTCAGCTCCTGTCTCTTGATGGGCAATCAAGAACCAAAGCTGCTTTAACTACTGCAGATAAATCAGTTTGATCTTTGAATCATGTTGTAATACCTGTTTTAAAATATTTGGTGAAAATATTTGAAAGATCTGCTTCAAAGAGGCCAAGTAAAGGGCATGGGTGTGTAACCTGCGGAACCCTCCCCAGCAGAAACCCCGGTGGCCAGGTGGACGCGTGCTGAGCTGAGGTGTTCAGATCACACCCCAGTCTTTGCAGCCCACATCCCTCTGTGGAACAAACACTGTGACAGCGCCACGTGCTGAGTGTCTGAGATTCATAGAATATGTAGTGTGCTCCTTTTAGGTAGACAACACGCTTTAACCTAACATTACCCAGAGGAGAACTTAGGGGGATCACAGTTGTTATGAACTGAATGTGTTCCCCAGAATTCATGTGAAACCCCTAACCCTTGCTGTGGCTGTGTTAGGAGAGGGGCCTCTCAGGAGGTACTGGGGTGAAGGTTATAAGGGTGAGGCCCTGACCCACTGGGATCGGTGTCCCTGTGAGGAGAGACCCCGGAGTGCTTGTGCTGCCTCCTGCCCCAGGAGCACTCTCTGGGAAAGGCCGCGCCAGCCTCTGCAAGCCAGGAGGGAGTCTCACCAGAAACAATCAGTAGGAACCTTGACCTCAAGACTTGCAGCCTTCGGAGCTGTGAGAACCAGATTTCTGTTGTTTCAAGCCCCTGAGGCTGTGGTGTATGTCACAGCAGCCTGAGCAGGCTGCGATGGTAGCTAAGGGTGTTTGGTAAAGAAAAAAATGAATTATCCTTGTTAGGGTGTGAAGAGGCCTTATTGAAGGGCTCACCCCAGTGGGGTGTTGCAGTAGGGGAGACAGACGGGGGTCAGTTCCGAGTACAGGGACGGGTGGGAGCTGGCAGCCCAGAGCAGGGCGGGGCCTGTGGACAGAAATTCCTCAGAGGAAACATCAGGAGTCAGGGCAGTCTCACAGCGCAGGGTGGGTCTCTCCAGGCAGGCTCAGCAGGACAGAGCCAAGGTCACAGCCTGGTCCGAGAAGGGACTCGGAGGAGTGGACACAAGCTTGGTCCAAGGGAGGGTCTTTGTCAAGGGCCATTTGTTTCATTTTACAGGGAGGAAACGCAGCCAAGTCAGCTTTTCCGACTCGAGGCCCACACTCTTCACTGTGCTGGCTCGTGACTCACCAGAGAAAGCCACGCACGCCATTCTTTTAACCTTCTCTCCTCTGTGAGTGCAATGAAGTTAGTGCTTTTCAACAAGTCCTTCCCTTTTCTAGTACGTAAAGTGAGAGGCAGAGCCTGCCCTGGTCTCTGGGCCCTCCCTCTGCTGGCCACGTTCCTTCTGAGCAGCACGCCACCCCATCTTGTGGCAGTGACGTGTCTGTGGTCAGTGCAGGGCCTGGTGCTGGCCTCCTCGTGGCCGGGACCCAAAGTGGTCACGCCCGGCCCCTGCTCCGTGTTTGGTGTGCCGGCACCGGCTTCTGGACCAGTGTTCAGCACACCTCGAGTGTGATCAGCCCTGACCTCCACCCAGGCTGCACCTTCCCTGCCTGCTCCCGTGCGCCCGGCGAGTGTGCACCTCTCTCTCCCCACTCCTGTCTCCAGGTAGCAGTCAGGAAGACACTTTTTTTTCTTTCTTTCTTTTTTCTTTTGAGATGGAGTCTTGCTCTGTGGCGGGGCTGGAGTGCAGTGGCGGGATCTCTGCTTACCGTAAACTTTGCCTCCTGGATTCAATTCTCTTGCCTCAGCCTCCGGAGCAGCTGGGACTACAGGCACAAGCCACCATGCCCAGCTAATTTTTGTATTTTTTACTAATAGAGACGGAGTTTCACCATGTTGGCCAGGATACTCTGGATCCCTCGACCTCATGATCCACCCACTTCAGCCTCCCAAAGTGCTGGGATTACAGGCAGGAGCCACCGGCCACCCAGCCCGGCACTTTCGAGCCATGTCAGATCACGCCACTCCCATGCTCAGGATCCTCCTATGACTTCCTTGTCCCTCAGTATAAAATGCAAAGGTCCCCCCAACACCCTCAGGTGTCCCCCGCCCCCACCCCACCTCTCCCCTGCACTCCCCACCCCTCCCCTGCACTACCCACCCTACCCCTGCATTCCCCAGCCCTCCCCTCCCCTCCCCTGCACTCGCCTGTCTTCCTCTCCCCTCCCCTCCCCTGCACTCCCCAGCTCCAGCCATGTGGCTTTTCCTGCTGTTCCTCAGCGCTGTGCCGTTCCACTGCCTGGGCTTTAGTCAGATGGAACTTGCTTTGTAAACATTATTGATTTCTAAAATTATGGAAAAATATACATAACATAAAGTCTCACTATGTCGCCCAGGCTGGAGTGCAGTGGTGTGATCACAGTTCACTGCAGCCTCTGCCTCCTGGGTTCAAGTGATTCTCTTATCTCAGCCTCCCGAGTAGCTGGGGCTATAGGCATGCGCTAGCAGGCCTGGCTAAGAGTGTGTGTGTGTGTGTGTATTTATTTTTAGTAGAGGTAGAGTTTTGCCATATTGGCTGGGCTGGTCTCAAACTCCTGACCTCAAGTGATCTGCCTGCCTCAGCCTCCCAAAGTGCTGGGATTACAGGTGCGAACCACCATGCCCAGCCCATCTTCACCGTTTACAAGTGTACAGTTCAGTGGCATTAGCTACACTCACACTGTTGCACAACCAGCACCTCCGTCCAGCTCCAGAGCGTCTCATCCTCCCAGATGGAAACTCTGTTCCTGTTGGGCATGGGCTCCCCATCCCCCCGCCCGCCCCCAGAAGCGCCGATCTGCTTTCCATCTCTATGAATGTGACTCCTCTAGTGACCCCATATAAATGGAATAATGCAGGATTTGTCCTTTTGTGCCTAGTTAATTTCACTGACCCTGATGTCCCCAAGATTCCTCCACGTGGGAGCAGGTGTCAGAATTCCCTTTTAAGGCTGAAGAACACTCCATTGCATGGATGTGGCACAGGACTTTTTCGGTGTCTTCACCAGCCAGAGACCTCCATGGCTGCCGCCACCCCTGCCAGACCTCACCTGGCTCCAGGCTGCTGCTGGAGGTACCCTGCACACTGGGCCCGGCGGGCTGTGCTCGGCTTGCACCCCAGCCCACATCCCACTCGCCACAGGACCCACGCTCCGCCAGCAATTGTGCCACGACCTGCTTCTGCCTTGGGCACCAGTGTCTGGATGAGGGGAACAGGGCTGCGCCCAAAAACTCAGAGACACCAGGAAACGGAGAGCCCCCAGGCTGTTGCTGCTCGACTGCTCCCGCCACCTGTGGCTTGGCGAGCGGGGGCCTGTTCCAGCCCTGGTTCTGGGAGGTCAAGGTGTGGGCTCTGGCAAGGCACTACAGCTCTAGTTCATTCCTGCTGCCCGCAACCTCAGCAAACAGGGGTGTGTGGCACCCAGCGGCTTCTTCTCCCCCACTGCTCAGCGAGCAGGACAGAGGGTTACGGTGTTACAGCCCTTTTCACACCCACCATTTGGCGGGTGCCAAGTTCTTGTCCCACATCCAGAAGAATGAGGTTACGCAGACAACCAGAGAGTGAGCAGGGCAGAAAAA